TGAGGTCATGATCTATGCTGAAGTCAGATGCTTAAGCGACTAAGCCACCCAGGCAGCCCTATTTACCTCTACTTTTTAAAAGCTAATGTAATGAAAATGAAAACATGACAGTCCAAAACCTTTGAGATGCAGCAAAAACAGTGATAAGAGGGAGGTATGTAGAAATACAGGTCTACATCAAGAAGCAAGAAAAGTCTCAAATACACAACCTAACCTACACCTAAAGGAACTAGAAAAGGAACTGCAAATAAAGCCTAAAGCCATCAGGAGGAGGTAAACAATAAACATTAGAGCAGAAATAAATGATATAGAAACAAAAACCCAGAACAGATCAATAAAACTAGGAGCTGGCTAACTTCCTGGCCAGACTTATCAAAAAGAAAAAAGAAAGGACCCAAATAGATAAAATCATGAATGAAAGAGGAGAGATCACCACCAACACCACAGAAATACAATTATGAAAGAATATTATGAAAAATTATATGCCAATAAATTGGGCAATTTGGAAGAAATGGATAAATTCCTAGAAACATATAAACTACCAAAACTTCAACAGGAAGAAATTTGAGCAGACCTATAACCAGCAAAGAAATTGAGTCAGTAAGCAAACATCTTCTAATAAAAGTCCAGGACCAGATGGCTTCCCAGGGGAATTCTACCAAACATTTAAGAAGAGTTAATACCTATTCTTCTCAAACTATTAGAAAGAAGAAAGAAAGAAAGAAAGAAAGAAAGAAAGAAAGAAAGAAAGAAAGAAAGAAAGGAAGGAAGAAAAGGAATACCTCCATTCTATAAGGCCAGCATTACTTTGATTCCAAAACCAGACAAAGACCCCACCAAAAAGGAGAATTACAGGCCAATATCCCTGATGAACATAATGCAAAAGTTCTCAAGATTCTAGCGAGTTGAATCCAACAGTATATTAAAAGAATTATTCACTGTGATCAAGTGGGATTTATTCTTGGGCTGCAAGGGTGGTTCAATATTCATAAAGCAGTCAATGTGATACACCACATTTATAGAAGAAAAGATAAAAACCATTTGATCTTCTCAATAGATGCAGAAAAGCATTTGATAAAGTATAGCATCCATTCTTGATGAAAACCCTCAACAAATTAGGGATAGGAGGATCATACCTCAACATCATAAAGGCAAAATATGAAAGACCCACAGCTAATATCCTCAATGGGGAAAACGAGAGCTTTTCCTATACGGTCAGGAACAAGATGGGATGTCCACTCTCACCATTGTTATTTAACATAGTACTAGAAGTCTTAGCCTAAGCAATCAGACAACAAAAAGAAATAAAAGGCATCCAAATTGGCAGAAGTCAAACTTTCACTATTTGCAAACAACATGATACTCTATATAGAAAACCTGAAAGACTCCACCAAAAAAATTGTTAGAGCTGATACACAAATTCAGCAAAACTGCAAGATACAAAAATCAATGTACAGAAATCTGTTGCATTTCTATACGCTAATAATGAAGCAGCAGAAAGAGAAATCAAGGAGTCAATCCCATTTACAATTGCACCAAAAACCATAAGATACCTAGGAATAAACCTAACCAAAGAGGTAAAATATCTGTACTTTGAAAACTATACAACACTGATGAAAGAAATTGAAGATAACACAACGAAATGGAAAAACATTCCATGCTCATGGATTGGAAGAACAAATATTGTTAAAATGTCTATACTACCCAAAGCAGTCTACACATTTAATGCAATTCCTATCAAAATACTGCCAACAGGAGCACCTGGGTGGCTCAATCGGTTAAGTGTTCGACTTAAGCTCAGGTCATGATTTTGCAGTTCATGAGTTTGAGCTCCACATTACACTCTCTGCTGTTAGCATAGAGCCTGCTTCAGATCCTGTGTCCTGCTCTCTCTGCCTCTCCCTGGCTCATTTTATCTCTCTCCCCCTATCTCTCCCTCTCTCTCTCTCTCTCTCTCTCTCTCTCTCAAAAAAAAAAAAATACTATGTTTCACAGAGCTAGAACAAACGATCCTAAAATTTGTATGGAACCACAAAAGACCATGAATAGCCAAAGCAATCTTGAAAAGAAAAACTGGAAGCATCATGATTCCCAACTTCAAGTTATGTTACAAAGCTTTAGTCATTAAGACAATATGGTACTGGCACAAAAATAGATACAGATCAGTGGAACAGAATAGAAAACTCAGAAATGGACCCACAACTATATAGTCAACTGATCTTAGACAAAGTAGAAAAGAATATCCATTGAAAAAAGTCTCTTCAACAAATGGTGTTGGAAAAACTGGATGGTGACATGCAGAAGAATGAAACTGGACCACTTTCTTTCACCATACATAAAAATACGAAATGGATGTGAGACAGGAAACTATCAAAATCCTAGAAGAGAACACAGGCAGTGGTACTCTGACCAGGAAGCCCTTCACTAGAGGCAATTCTCTGAGGTACAAGGAAACAAAAGCAAAAATAAACTGTTTGGACTTCATAAGATAAAGATCTTCTACAAAGCAAAGGAAACAATCATCAAAACTAAAAGGCAACCTATGGAATGGGAGAAGATATTTGCAAATGACGTAGCAGATAAAGGGTTGGCATCCAAAATCTATACTTATCAAACCCAATGCCCCAAAAACAAATAATCCAGTTAAGAAATGGGCAGAAGACATGAATAGACATTTTTCCAAAGAAGACATCCAGATGGCTAATAGACACATGAAAAGATGTTCAACGTCACTCATAAGGGAAATAAAGTGCGCATGTGCGCACACACACACACAATGAGATACCACCTCACACCTGTCAGAATGGCTAAAATCAACAACACAGGAAACAACAGATGTTGGCGAGGATGCAGAGAAAAAGGAACCCTATTACACTGTTTGTAGGAATGCAAATTGGGGCAGCCACTCTGGAAAACAGTATGGAGGTGCTTTAAAAAGCTAGAAATAGAACTACCCTAAGATCTAGCAGTTGCACTACGAGGTATTTACCCAGAGGATACAAAAATATTGATTTGAAGGGGCACATGCACCCCAATGTTAATAGCAACATTATCAACAATAGCCAAATTATGAAAAGAGCCCAAATCAGTCCATCAAGTGATGAATGGATAAAGATATACAGTGGAATATTACTCAGCTATTAAAAAGAATGAAATCTTACCATTTGCAATGATATGGATGGAGCTACAGTGTATTATGCTAAGTGAAAGAAGTCAGTCAGGAAAAGACAAATACCATATTATTTCACTTATATGTGGAATATAAGAAACAAAACAAATGTAACATAGGGGATGGGAAAAAAAGAGGAAGGCAGGTAGGAAGTAGGTAGGGGATGGGCTAAATGGGTGAAGGATATTAAGGAGGGCACTTGTGATGAGCACTGGGTGTTATATGTAAGTGATGAATCACTAAATTCTACTCCTGATACCAATATTACACTATATGTTAACCAACTAGAATTTAAATAAAAACTTGAGTTGGGGGGGAACCTGGGTGGCTCAGTCAGTTAAGCTTCTGACTTTGGCTCAGGTCATGATCTCATGGTTCATGGGTTCGAGCCCCACATTGGGCTCTGTGCTGATGATGCAGAGCCTCCTTGGGATTCTCTCTCTTTCCCTCTCTCTCTGCCCCTCCCCTTCTCTCACTCTCTCTCTCTCTCTTTCTCTCAAAATAAACTTAAAAAATTTTTGAACTTGGTAAACATTTTTAAAAATAAAAGATATGTAACTGTTACATGTTTGTTGAAAACTTCTTTGAAGGATTTAAGTAGATTATAAAATAATTCACTAAAGAAATTAGCCTAGCTAGCATTCTTTAGCAATTATTTTGGAGGAGGCCACCGGTACCCTGTTTAATAAGCAGACTGGTTTTAATCAGGGGGTTTTAAGGTTTTCTTTTCATTTCTAAGTTTATTTATTTTGAGAGAGAGAGTGCGCAAGTGGGGCAGAGGCAGAGAGAGAGGGAAAAAGAATTCCAAGTGCAAAATTATCAGTGCAGAGCCTGACGTGGAGCTCAGTCTCACAAACTACAAGATCATGACCCAAGCCAAGGTCAAGAGTTGGACACTTAACCAACTGACCCACTAAAACAAAACCTAAGGTTTTCATTTTTAACAGCAGAAGCCTTTCTTTCCAAGCAAAATTTTCAAGAGTCCCCACAATTCCCTTCATATGTTGGGAAAGTACCTATATATGACTATCATTTGCCAGCTTCTTACTATGTGATAAGGATTTTACACATATCTAACCCGCCGAAAAGTCCTGTGAGGCAGATAGTATCCTCATTTTAAATATATAGAAACTGAGCCTCAGAAAGTTTAAGTAACTTGCTCCGTATCATACAGCTAGCAATTGGCAGAGTCAGGATAAGGAAATAGGTCTATCCAGACTCCAAAGGCAGGATTTTATTTAACCTTAGAGAACAATGCCCAACATGTAGTGAAGAATTATAAGAGTTTTATAATTAATTGTTCATCTAATCCTTGCAACAATCCTCTAACGTAGACAATATTATTCTCTCCATATTATGGATAAGGAAACTGAGGAACAGAGAGGTTATGTAAATTACCTGTGTTATTTACCATTTCCCTTGCCACAATTGCAAACATGTTAAGATTCGCCTAACGTATAGTTAGAAACTTCAACAATGTTATTTTTGACCCAGTATATTCCAGTTAAAAATTATGTGTCATTTTGGACTAACTGTATTATCTATCCCAAACTTAGAATACTCAGAATTGAAAAACCTGGAAGGTTGCTTCAGTCTTATTTCATATTTGAAATAAGTACTTTGTCAGTTATTGTCTTTAGGATCTAAGCAGTGAATCACTTTATAGGTAGTGCTGTCTTATCTGGAGATGCCTTTTTTTTTTTTTCTTAACATCAGTAACTTAGATTTTTAGATCTAGTTATAGAGCTAGCTGTGAGTTTTAATTTTTGTATTTAATTTTACCAAATTTTCAAATCTTATTAAAATTCTAAAAGGAAGCTTTCCACCGTAGGTTATGGCTATTGCCCCAACCCATTATATATGGCAGCGGGAACGCTCTGTGCATCACAGTGGAGCTGTTAGAAACTACAACAGAGATGAAGTTCAACTGCCCCGAGGACCTAGTGCCACCCCAGTAGATTGTTCACTCTGTGGTAAAAAAGGAAGATATGTTAGACTGGGATTGTCTTCATCATCTTCATCCAGTGATACAGTAGAGGTGATGGAGAAACATTCTCAGGAATCACACAAGTCAATGGACATAGTAGTCAATCCTTCTCAAGCTTATAGCTATTCTCAAGGTATGATTTAGTAATATGTCAGAATTAGATTTATGCAAGTTATTAACAAACCTCACTTATTGACCTGTAGTCAGTTCTTACAGGCAGGGGTACATAGTAATTTATATATCACAACATTATGAGTGAATTAGTATTGAAAGTTTTCCCCTTTTCAGTTACTATTTGTCTTGTGTCAGTATCTGTTTTTGTGGTAGTGTACCTAAGCTAAAAGATTTTTAATGTGACTTATGTTACGCTGAAACCTAACACACCATGGGTCTCAAGTATTTTAAAGTATTAAGTATTTGAAGAGCCTGAAGCATTTTCTATGAAATGTTTTATTCAAAAGAAGTTTCAAGAAGAAAATAAATTTACTTGAAATCTCACCAGCTTTATCAGTGATTAACTACTGGTTTTCTTTTATATACTTTTTATTTTTTATTTATTTTTTATTTTTTATTTTTTTTTTCAACATTTATTTATTTTTGGGACAGAGAGAGACAGAGCATGAACGGGGGAGGGGCAGAGAGAGAGGGAGACACAGAATCGGAAACAGGCTCCAGGCTCTGAGCCATCAGCCCAGAGCCCGATGCGGGGCTCGAACTCACGGACCGCGAGATCGTGACCTGGCTGAAGTCGGACGCTTAACCGACTGCGCCACCCAGGTGCCCCATATACTTTTTAAAATTGAGACATAATTGACACAAAATATTGTATTAACTTTAGGTGTACAATATAATGATTTGATATATTGCAAAATGATTACCACAATAGGTTAACATTCATCACCACATATAGTTTTGTGTGTGTGTGTGTGATGGGAACTTTTAAGATATACTCTCTTAGCAACTTTCAAATACACAACACATATTGTGAACTATAGTCACCCTGTTGTTCATTGCATTCCAGGATTTATTTATCTTATAACTGGAAATTTGTATCTTTTGACCACCTTCACCAATTTTGCCCACCCTGCATCCCTGCTTCTGGCAAACACCAATCTGTTCTCTGTATCTAGTTCATTTTTTGGTTTAGTTTTGTTTTTAGATTCCACATGTGAGATCATGTTATTTTCTTTTTCTGAAGTATTTCACTTAGCATAATGCCCTCAAAGTCATCCATGTTGTCACAGATGGTAGGATTTCCTTACTTTTTATGGCTGAATGATATTCCATTGCGTATATGTGCATGTGAGTGTGTGTATCCTTGTGATTTTTTTTACATACAGCATAAATGCTTTATTAATAATCACAAATCTCATTGTGGTTTTGATTTGCATTTCCCTGACAATTGGTGATGCTGAACACCTTCTTACGTACCTGTTGACTATTTGTATGACTTCTTTGGAAAAATGTCTATTCATTTCCTCTGTCCATTTTATTTGGATACTTTTCTATTGAGTTGTAAGAGTTCTTTATATTTTTTTGGATTTGAACCCTTTATCAGAACAGAATGGTTTGCAGATATTTTGCAGATATTTTCTCCCATTCCATAAGGTTGCCTTTTCATTTTCTTGGCTTTCTTTGCTGCGCAGAAACTTTTTAATTTGATGTAATCCCACTGTTTATTTTTGCTTTGTTACCTTTGCTTTTGGTGTCAAATCCAAAAACCATTGGCAAGATGAGTATCCTTCCATTTTGTTCCAGTTTTATCGTTTCAGGTCTTACATTCAAGTCTTTAACCTATTTTGAGTTGATTTTTGTGCATGGCATAAGATAGTGGTCTTCATTTCTTTTGCATGTGACTGTCCAGTTTTTCCAACACCATTTATTGGAGAGACTGTTTCCACTTCTTGGCACGTCTTGTCATAAATTAATTGACCATATATGTGTGGGTTTATTTCTGGGCTCTCTATGCCATTCCATTTCTCTATTTGTCAGTTTTATGTGAAAATCATAGTTTTGATTACTATAGTGTAATATTATACACTTTTCTACTATTTAAAAAAAATTAGAAACATACTATATCTAGGCCTGCTTTTTTTCACTTACCATAAAGCATTTCCCCATGTCATTAGTCTTTGAAAACCTGATTTTTAATCATGACATGGTATAAGTATCATAATTTATTTGCACATTTCATTTTTGTTGGTATTTAAATGGCTTTGCACAATGATATATTAATTAGAAAATAATCATATGAACTGGAAATACTTTTAGTCGACCACACCATAATTTTCATTCAATGTTTATAGAGTATTTCTGACATTTGAAACCGAGCCAGAATAATATTCTACCAGCAGTGATCCTTTTTACTTCTTATAAAGCCTTTTTCTAGATTTTCATCCAAGATAGGACTGACAGATTTCTTATAGTTCTGCCTAAATTCTATAATGAACCTCCATTATTTCAGAATATCACGTATTTATTTTTGCTATATCCTTATGAGATTAATAGTGGCTACTGAAGTTTTAGTAAAAGAGAAACCAAACTCTTAAGACTCTTCAGGGTAGGGATCACACCTCAATCATTGTTTCATTCCCTGGCCATAGTAAATCACTAAACAAATTTGACAGTATAGTCTCTTCCCTTGCAACACCTCCAAGCATAATTTTCATTTGTTCACTTGTATCTTAAGGTAAGTTGGATCTACCATAGGCTAAAGTATAAAATAAAAATTGCCTTTTAACATCTTTCCCTTCTATACCAGCAACTTTTACCTACACTTTTTGGTTCTTATAATAGGTAAGAGTTACTAGATGTTTAAAATGTTCCAGGCAATATGTTAAACATTGTACATTGATAATTGCAACGTTCACAACCAACCCTATGATAAATACTATTATCTCTACTTTGCAGATAAGGAAACTGAGACTTAGAGAGGTTAAATCATTTGCCCAAAGTGGAGCGACATTTGAACCCAGGTCTGACTCTAGACTACAGCCTGAATTTGTAACTATTATGCTCTGCTGCCCCCTTTGATGAAATCTTACCTTTGGTGATGAAAATAAGCTGCCACAGAAGTCTTTTAGCAAACTAAGGACTAAGGAAGTGGTGAAAGCGTTAAGAACCAGCCCTAATGAAAGGTTGTATGGAGTGAATTGGGAGAGACTTCCAACCACAATTTGAACAAATATTTATAGAAAGCAGAACACAAGCAGTTATGGTTTACTCAAGCTAATCCCTGTAGATATCAAAGAGTAGTAACACTCTCTGGGGCGCCTGGGTGGCTCAGTTGGTTGGGCGTCCAACTTCAGCTCAGGTCATGATCTCGCAGTTTGTGGGTCCATGCCACATGTTAGGCTCTGTGCTGATAGCTGAGAGCCCGGAGCCTGCTTCGGATTCTGTGTCTCCCTCTCTCTGCCCCTCCCCTGCTCACAGTCTGTCTCTCTCAAAAATAAATAAACATTAAACAACAACAACAAAAAAAAGAGTAGAAACCACAGTGCACCCAGGGAGGAAGGGGCTCTGCCAGTTGGCTTGCTTTGAAGCAAAAGCACAACTTTGACAGATGGTGGGTGAAAAGTGGAGCACTTGACTTAAGGGAGTTGTAAGTGGAACTGTGCTTTCATTCTGTCCCTGGAGGAAAGTCCTGAAGCCCTGGTTTAGGATATATACAGATCCTATACAGGAAAGAACAAGTATTTACTCATTACTGTTTTATTCAGAATATTAAAGTTAAATGTAAAAGCTTTTGTTTCAGGATGGCATTTTCAATGTAAATTTTCGATGTAAAGAAAAATTATTAATCATACACTTGACCAGGAAACATATACATTCATTTTCCCTCAATAGGCTTAACTGGGAGTGAGCTCAGTAGGGGTGTGGGGGCATTCAAGGGTAACACAATGTTATCAGGAGCAGTGGTCAGTGTCTTACTGCCTCAGCAGCTGATTTTTAGTGATGAAAAAACAAACTCAGAAAAGTCACAATTGTAAGGTAAAACAACAAAAGCAGCAAGATGGGACCCAATTCTATCTGAATATGGCCTATTTTAATACTAAATGACACTGTTTACCTTAGGCATTTTTAAGCCTTGTGACACCTAAGTTAATCCCTCTGAAACATGAATATGCAGAGGACTCCTCAGATTTTAGAGTGAAGCCAGAGGGAAAAAGCAATGTATCAAACCTTATTCCTGGATCACAGATGCACGCATGGGACAGTACAACTGTTGTATAATCTAAAATCGAGTAATTTTTCCTCAAAAAACAAATCCTTATTTAGTTGAGTCACTACAACTGTTCTAGTCATACTGGTTTAAAATCCTAATACCTAATAAAGGCATAATCAGTGTTTGTAAATTAATGATGTAATAGGGCAATGCTAATTATATAACATTTAAGAGTACAAAAGACTCTAGGGTGAGAGACTTTTTAGAGGCTGTTGAAGGCTTTTTAGAGGAAGTAATATGTGAACTGAACACCGACTTAAGTCCTGTTTTGCCCAGCAAAGTAAGGGGAAGGGCTTCTGAATAGCAGATAAAAGTTTAAAGCATATACTCTCACTGTCTCTATAGCCAATGAATAGCTTATCTAGTTATTCCTTCACAATGTTTTTTAAATCTACCCCTTTTCCTTACCTCATGGTTACATACTACAACCAATCACCTCATAATGTATACCACGTGGTACTGTGAAATTCCTGATTCAATTGTTTTTTCCTTCCTTCAAATACTCATAGACACTACTAACAGACTAACTTAAAACAGAAAAATCTCCTTTTACATGACCAGAGAACCCTCAGGAGTTCCCTACTGCCTCTGAAGTAGAGTTCAAACTCCCAAGTCCCCCACAGTCCAAGAGGTGTATGCCTAAATTTCCCCCCAGAACAACCAAGTCAACAGATAAAAACAATACATGATCAAATGTAGGTTTACAGCCATCAGCACATTTTTATTGACCATTAGTGGGTGGAAAAGGTGGGATCTCTGGAAGGTACTAGGAAGACAATGGAATCAGTCACAAATCTGTAGGAGTTTACAGTATGAGAGATGACAGCCAGACACGAATTTAAGAAAGGTTAACTTTAAAAGAATACATCTGTAGGTGGTGCGTGTGGCTGGGTCAGTCAGTGGGACATGCGACTCTTGATCTCGGAGTTGTGAGTTCAAGCCCCACAATGGGTAAAGAGCTTACTTTAAATACAAAAAAAATAAAAAAGAACACATCTGTCCCATAAGCAAGATTGTTAACATGCTTAATGTTCAATGGAGACATGGAGAAAGGGCTTAAGCTGGACTTTAACCATATAAATAAATGCTTATTTGCTTATGTAGTTTGGTTTTCAATTCATCTTAATATTTATTAGAATGGACACCGTTAGGGGCGCCTGGGTGGCGCAGTCGGTTAAGCGTCCGACTTCAGCCAGGTCACGATCTCGCGGTCCGTGAGTTCGAGCCCCGCGTCAGGCTCTGGGCTGATGGCTCGGAGCCTGGAGCCTGTTTCCGATTCTGTGTCTCCCTCTCTCTCTGCCCCTCCCCCATTCATGCTCTGTCTCTCTCTGTCCCAAAAATAAATAAAAACGTTGAAAAAAAAAATTTAAAAAAAATAAAAAAAAAGAATGGACACCGTTAAAGACATCTTGTTCAATTCAACGTCAATAGTTGAATTGAGCGCAGTGTACTGAACAGAAACTAATTATTCTACGTGAAATAGGAGTAGAGGCACAACTTTTCTTTGCTCTTAAGCCAGCCCCTTCTCCATGTAGTACAATTAGAACTTGCATTTAAAATAATACATGAAGAATTTCACTGCTGGTTAAACACAGGACAGAAGAAAAAGGCATGTTCCATGATAGAACTTAAAATTGTACTTCAGGGGTGCCTGGGTGGTTCAGTCAGTTAAGTGACTTCGGCTCAGGTCATGATCTTGTGGTTTGTGAGTTCGAGCTCCACGTTGGGCTCTGTGCTGCCAGCTCAGAGCCTGGGACCTGCTTCAGATTCTATGTCTCCCTCTCTCTCTGCCCCTCCCCTGCTCACACTGTGTCTCTCTCTGTCTCTCAATAATAAATAAACTTCCAAAAAAAAAAATAAAAAATACTTCAGAGCTTCTATGTATCTGAAGTGTTATGAAAACTATAAAGCCATTATTACTGTATGAGTGTTTAGATAGTTACCATAAAGAAATCTGACATCAGAAGACTAATCTGCTTATATGATTCAGTCTGTTCCCCAAATACAACGAGAGTGATTTTTTTCCAAAACACAGATCTAAGCATGTTATCCCTCACTTCACTAAATCCTTCAATGAGACCCTATTTTTCTTAGGATAGACAAGCTTAAGAGGTCTAGAAGATCCTGCATGACCTGACCCCTACTTATTTTTCGGGTCTCTTTCACTCAACCCCAGCATCACTGGCCTTTTTTGTTCTCATTTTCCCTGCTATAGTTAACTTGTACTTACCATTCAGGTCTCAGCTCACTTGTCACTTGCATAGGTAATTACTTGGCCAGAGCAAAACCTCTATTATAGTACTCTGTACTTCTTTGGAGCATATAACAATTTTCTATTTGTGTGACTATTTAATGCCTAGTTAAACTTTATGGTCTAAAAAAGCAGAGATGTTAAAATTTTCCAAAAAATGAAAAATATGTAAAATGTTATTTAGAATATTTATTATTTTAAATAGCCTAAGGGATAAATCCAGGAATAGCAGCATTTATCCTCCCAGGTACTACCCTTTAAAAACTATAAAACATCGGGGCGCCTGGGTAGCTCAATTGGTTAAGCGTCCGACTTCGGCTCAGGTCATGATCTCACAGTTTGTGAGTTTGAGCCCACATCAGGCTCTGTGCTGACAGCTCAGAGCCTGGAGTCCGCTTCGGATTCTGTGTCTCCTTCTCTCTCTGCCCCTCCCCAACTCGTGCTCTGTCTCTCAAAAAATAAACAAACATAAAAACTATAAAAACCCGTATCTAAACAATAACCTAGCCACTCTACGTTTTTGTTTATCTGTAGAATATAGATAACCTTAAAGATAAGCTACCTCTATTAAATGAAAAAACATTATATAAAGTTTAAAACAATGTAGGGTACCTGGTAAATGCTAAATAACTGATGCCTATGAATAATAAACCCCTAATTAATTCTGATGTTCTTTCAAACAAGTTAAATTGATTCTGATAAAAGAGTCAATTGTTACATCTTCTATTACAGTTTTTAAGATGGTTATATGATTCTTATCAGCTTTCCTATTATTTACTATAACCCAGATTTCGCTACTTTTTAAGATACAGACAAGCCATTAAAATATGTACTTAAAATACACAAATACATTCAAATTTATCTTAAAATGCGTATTTTATTTTGGTAGCCAACGACCATCAATCAGACAAAGAAAAGAAAACTAATTTTATGAAGAAAGACAAATCTATGGAGTGGTTTACAGGAAGTGAAGAATGAAATGGCTCAACTAAACCAACTTGGAATCATTAACTACAAAATGTCAAACTACAAGACAAGTGTCAAAATGGGACATTTAAATTGTTTTGAAATGTTACACATCTTCCTTCAGCTTTTGTTATTTTTTGAAATTATATGTAAAAGTTATACAAATCATATAGCAAAAAATTTCAATCTATGAAAGTAGTGTTTTGCAATATAAAGTTCTATTTTGATACCTTTCCTTCTTCACATCAGTTGCTACCCTCTGAGGTACTCAGTTAAGCTGTGGTTTAAACTTCCTCAGCTTGACAAGAAATGCTAATTTAAGAAGAGAGAAAAAAAGTAAGGTCATTACAATAATTAGAAGAAAACACCATTTAATATGACCTGAAAACATCACTCACCTGTATGACCAGTTTGCCAGTGTATAGGTCTAGCAATATAGGGAAATGATCCATATGGAAAATCTGAATGTGATTCTTCTGTTGTAGAACAAAATATATATTATAAGCTACATAAAATATGTTATAATTTGCTCACAAAACTGTTCAAATACAAATTACTGTTTCTTTAAGTTTTTTCTCTCAGACATTTTTTTCAGCATTTGTTTTGGAGCTACTCTGCCAGTTATCTGACAAAACAATTTGAAAAGGATTAAATGATAAACTTGTATATGGTTTTATAACCAAATGGGTGAGCTTATATATCATAAATCAATGGATATTTGAAAACTTGTTCAAGACCTAAATAATGTGTACATACAACAAGGACTTAAATTTAGTTCTTTGACAAATTCTAGCAGTGTCCAGAAGTTGCTTTTTGGAATATTAGCCATTTGCATATTAGGTCCTATTCTTTGCCTTCAGTAATAATCACTGATCTAAATTAAAAACATCCTTTAGTATATTTAAAGTATTTCATAAGCCAACCTCCTTGATACAAGTAAAATACAAATATTATAAGAAGTTCAATTCTTCAAAGGTATCAGAGTTTTACATAAAAGGCAAAAAAACATTACTCTGTCCCTTAAGAGATTTTAATTTAACAAAGAAATAGTACATTTCATCTTCTCTAGGGGAAAAAAAACCCAAATCCCTGAGAAACAGCTCTGATTATTGGTCAATATACTCAGGAGCCTATTCTCGATTTATTATTGCAAACACATATGAAATAAAATTGAAGCTTACCATGGTCATCCTCTTGAAACATCTCATCTTCAATGCTAACTTTCTTTTGAGAATGTAATTGTAAATCTGTATTGATTTTAGGTTCTACTTTTTGAGGTAAAGTTCCATTTTTCTGTTTTGCAAGGCAAACCAACCAATCTCTGACAATAACTTCACTTATCTTTTCACATGTGAGAGCAAGTTCACAGATGCGAATTCCATCTAAAAGTTCAATAACCTGTGTGATGCTTTTAGAAAAGTGGAAAAAATGTACTTTAAATTTCTACAAAAATAGTAACTTTATACTTAAGTTCACTATATCTCTTGACCCAAATTCAAAGGCTATAGTTAAATGAAGGGGGAAAAACAAATACGCAAATTAGAGCACACAATAAGCACTTTCATAGAAAGTAAAAAAATACAGAGACCATAATTTAACATTACTGTTCACAATACACTTTTAAAAATTTTCTTCTAAATTGTCAGAAGAAATACACATCTTATATTACCATTTAGGTAAAGGATGATTTAAACAGCAATATAAATTAATTGGGACATATGTCATTTCGTAAGTTTTATGAGATGACCTATATACCTAATTCTAATTCAGTTACAAAATGAACACTTTAACCAAATACTTAAGACAAAATAAAAGTGTATTTAAAATCACATTACAGGGGCACCTGGGTGGCTCAGTCGGTTAAGTGTCCGACTTCAGCTCAGGTCATGATCTCGTGGTTCTCAAGTTTGACCCCCATGTTGGGCTCTGTGCTGACAGCATGGAGTCTGCAGCCTGCTTCAGATTCTGTGTATCCCTCTCTCTGCCCTCCCCTACTCAGGCTCTGTCTCTCTCTCTCTCTCAAACATGAAAAAAAATTTTTTTTAATCACATTACAAAGAAGAATAGCCACACTACTCACTTTGCTAGATATACAGCACATATACCACCCTGTTTAAGATTTGGGTATAAAACAGGCAAAGCAACTTGAGGATTCAACATATCCAAAGCAACCTGTTGAGAGGAAAGCAAATCAGACTGAGTTTTTTTTAAACAAAGCACAAGTTTTCTTTCCTTACTGTGGTATAATGATACACTTTAGAAAGCGATTACTCAGTTACAGTTTTCATTTTTTAAAATATAATACTATTAACTATCATTTTGCTGCTCCCCCCCAAAAAGCATATTTACTGTTACACAATTTGTCATAGTACTTGACTATATGAAAATCATAATGGCATGTCTTACGCTTGGTAATACTGATAATACAGGAATCTTTATTTAGCTGTATTTCATATACACATATGTATACAAATACATACTTTATAAAGTTTCACTCAATACTTTAATTCAGCTTTTGGCAGCAGGAATTCACGTGATCTCAAATATGTATTTTTATGCTCAACAGGAAAGTTATGAATATTAATTTCAGAGATTCTAAAATGTAAGAATCATGTCCCTTGTTTGTTTATTCTTTATTCAACTGCAGACTATAAGGCTATAACTCATAAAAGCTGTAAATGAATTCAATGAATAAACAAAATTTTTAAAAATCACTTAAAATAAAATAGGGTCAAAATAGAAAATACAGTGGCTTTCATTGATGGATAACTCTGAAAGCTAAGGGTAGTTGGTACAACAACATATTTATTAAATTAGAAATTATTCCATTATTTGTCTTTTTTAAATGGCATTAATGGTTCATCATTCATTCACCAAATATTTACTGAGCACCTTCCATGTGCCAAGCATTTTGCTAAGTAGTAATAAGAAACTCTGTTTCAAGAGAACATATATCCTAATAAAGGGATAGACATTAAACAAAAATCCAATAGATATGTAAATCAGAGGAGGATAAGTGACAAGAAGAACTATAGAATTATAAAGCAAAGTAAGAAGGATACAGAGTAACAAGGAAAGGAAATGCCATTTTATATATAGGTTGGTCAGTAAAGAGACCTGAAGAAAATCATTAAGCTTACCCTGTGGAAATTTAGGGGGTAAGTATGCTCCAGATGGAAAGAACAGCAAATACAAATGTTCTGAGGCTGTAGGATACTTGGTGAATCTGAGAAGGCCACTGTCACTGCAGTGGAGACAAAAGGGGGAAATGGTAAGAGATGAATTCACTCACAATTCAGTGGCATGAAGTACATTCAGACTTATTAAATCCATACATAGAGAAGATTGAGAGAGGGCAAGGAAGGATGAGGACTTGCAACAAGCAAACAGCATTGTATGCCATGAGCGGTATACATTTTGAAAAGGTAGAGCCAGTTGCAATTAGGATTGGTTGTGGGATGTGAGACAAAGAGGAATCAGGATGAATCCAGTATTTTCAGCCTAAGCCACAGAAAGAATAGAGATGTCCTTTTCCAATGAGGAAAATGATGAAGACTATGGGAGGAGCAGGCTTGGCAGAAATAATCAAGAATTCAGGTTTGGACATGAGTTTAAAATGCCTATTAGATTCCAAGGAAAGATCCCAGTGACTGAATCAAAGGGTCAAGACGATGAACATTAATGGGTTTCTTTGGGTGTAGTTTGTCTATGTTATTGACGGGACCAAAAATCAGACAACCAAGAAAACTGCCAATCCTGTTGAATACTTTCTTCTCAGTGAACATTTCCATCTAGTCACTCAAACCAGAAACTTGTTGGAGTCATCATTTTCTTTACCTTGAACTCTCTTTCGAGGATCTGTGGAGTTTGACACTTCTGTTTGGATTAAAATTATCCAGCCCCACAAATATACCTCTGAAGTATTGTTCAAAGTCATCCTACTGCTAATGCCTTAGATCAGCACCTCATTGTATCTTGTTGAAACATTACAATAGCTTTCTACATAGACTCACAGCTTCCGTCATTGCACCACAATTACTCTAAAATAGAAGAGTACACTTATCTTGATGAGTACTAATACATGGAACTGCTGAACCACTATATTGTACACCTGAAACAGATCACTGTATGTTAACTACACTGGAATCAAAAAAAAAAAAAAAAAAAAAAAGAATTACTCTAAAATGGGAATTTGGACATTCTGCTTCTCCATTAGGAACTCATCAGTAGTGGGGCGCCTGGGTGGCTCAGTTGATTAAGTGTCTGATTTGATTTCGGTTCAGGTCATGATCTCATGGCTCGTGAGTTTGAGACCCGCATCAGGCTCTGTGCTGACACCTCAGAGCCTGCTTGAGATTCTCTCTCCTTTTCCCTCTCTTTCTGGTGCTCCCCCCACCCTCTCCAAAATAAATAAATTTTAAAAAGAAATTTTTTTTTTTATATAGGTAATGTTCCCATTACCTATAAGATAATGTCCATATGCCCTAGCTTGAAATATACATAAGTGTTCTTCATTATCTAGCCCCCGATGACTACATTTGCAGTTTCATCTCATGACACCTAATTTCTACAGTCGTGGTATTCCACACTTGTGAGTCTTTCCAGTAATTGTATGTCTATCTTCTAGAATGAAAGCTCCTTTAAATGTATACTTCATTTCTGTCTTAGCATAGTACATTGCAGTACAAAACAGATCTTTAATAAATGCTTATTGTATCAAGAAACAGTGGTTCAATAATTCAGAGAATGATGATAATCCCCCAGTTAGGTAAGTAAGGTATATTCCAGTGAAGAAGGTGACCTTTGATCTAAACTTTGAAGGAAAAGTAGAATTTAAACAGGTGAGGAAAAGGAGAGAAATAATAAGATGAAAATCATAGCTAATATTTCTTTAATGCTTACTATACATGAGGCACTGTTCTATGCACTTTATATGAAGTATCTTATCTAATCCTCAACAACTCTATGAAATAGGAAATATTGTTATCATTCCTGTTAATATGTGAAGGGACTGAGGTACAGAAAGATTGAAGTAACTTACCCAACGTCATCTTGGCTATTATGGGAGCCCAAGAGTGAACCAGGCTGAGTGGACTCTGAAACTTATTTCCCTCTTCCCCGTTCCCTTTCTCTCCTCAGAGATAATCATTGTCCTGAAGTTGGTAATGTTCCCAAATAATTTTCTACTTTTACAACATATGTATATTGCTACAAATGATACATGGTACCGTTTTACGTAGTTTTAAATTTTACATATACACACATTTTTTATAATGCTTTTTTCACTAAACATCATGTCTTTGAGATTTACTGATGTAGATATAATACACTATTTCACTATGTTAAATAATACTATTTTCAGTATCCCATTGTGTGCATTCCCCTTCTGCTGGTTAGGCTTTTTAAAATTTGTCAAAAATATTTTATTAGCCATTTTTTCTCCTTTTGTTCTCTTTGTGGTTTTCCACCTTTTTTGTTCAGTTTAGCATCATTTCGGATGGCAGGAGTATGACTCCTCCTATATTTCTCATACTGATAAACATCTGGCACTATGCTCAAGAGTCCGCTGAATAAATCTAGTAAGGAATATTCTTTTAGATCAAGGATGGTTCGGCAGGTTTCTAAAAAGCTTCAATGATATCATTAGAATCCTTGTATGTCATGATCATCAAACAAACTTCTGATGACCAATTAACCTCCCAGGTATCTATGACATTCTTATGGATAGCCTAGGTAGAGAAAAAAAAAAAAATTGGGGGGGGGGACCCTTACTGAGCTGTAATATGCAAAACAAACAAGGATAAAGAAAAAAAACTGTATGGGGCACCTGGGTGGCTCAGTCAATTAAGTGTCTGACTACGACTCAGGTCGTGATCTCATAGTTCAGAGTTCAAGCCCCGCGTTGGGCTCTGTGCTGATAGCTCAGGACCTAGAGCCTGCTGCAGATTCTATGTCTCCTTCTCTCTCTGCCCCTCCCCCATTTGCACTCTGTCTCTCTCAAAAACATTAAGGGGAAGAAAAAAAAAACGGAATTGTGGTCCTTGTGTCCAGGATCTGTGTCACCAAAACTATAGACTTTAAGAACGCTAAAGATAGGAACAAGTCTTGATAAAAATCTCATTTTTCAACCAGTTTCCCTCATAAATGTCCTAAAGTAATCCAACTTTCCAAAAGCCAATTAAGAAAAGCAAAGAAGACTCCTTACCTAGACCTCAGTCTGTAGTGTCAAGCTATGAAATGATAATGGAATCATCAAGGATAAGGTAACTTATTCGAATTCTGAGGGGCACCTGGGTAGCTCAGCTAGTTGAGCATCTGACTGGCTCAGGTCATGATCTCATAGTTCATGAGTTTGAGCCCCATGTCGGGCTCTTTGCTGACAGTTCAGAGCCTGCAGCCTGCTTTGGATTCTGTGTCCCTCTCTCTCTCTGCTCCCCCCAGAGCTTTCTCTCTCACAAAAATAAACATTAAAAAAAATTTTTTTTAATAAATAAAGAATTCTGAAACTCTGAGGCCACCTAATACCTCCACGTCCCACATCTCCACCATAACTGGTCACAGCCTAAAATATCATCCTGTCATCAACTATCCTTCTCCCCTAACTGAACCTCCCAGTGCTCCTCCTCCTTACAAATCCATCCACTCCACTTTCTGGAGCTGTGTTCATAACAAATGCCTCTGTCCTCAACATCTTTAATGAGCGCTCATCTGCATCCTGACATTAACTGTTCAAAGATTCTTCTTGGCTATTCTCTCACAAATGGAGGCCATTTATTCCCCCAAATCTCACAACGTGAAGTCAGGCACTAGGATCAATATGCTTCCAATGCTGCTTCCAAATTATTATTCCTTTATCCTGGAAATGCTGAAGTTAGTCACTCCTCTTCATATTTGGTTTGGTTATTACTCCACATTTATTAACAACTTTGACATCTGATTCAGTATGTCTTTCTACTCTAAATCCTATCATGATATTAAAGGAAAATATTCCTCCTACAGATAGAAATGGTGCAAATAATGAAGGAAGAGCCTTCCGTATAAAGTATGATGCCTGTTTTCTTTGTAGTCAGTATTAGATAATATCATAGCACCCACTTTAGAAAACTTACCGCATCAAATGTTAAAGATTTTATATCTTCAGTTGCTCCTGAAATATCCTTATGAATAAAATTCACATTGTCTGGCCACTCTTCTACATGACTTATTTTCCATGAATCACACCAGTTTTTATAATTCTTCTTAGCCAATTCAAGGTGGTCTTTTCGTATTTCAAAACTGAGGACTTGTCCTTGTGATCCCACTTAATTAAAAAAACAACTTATGATATTTCATTGTATTTATTAGTTCATAAAAGATTATAAAAAATTATTTTGCAAAGGTAGTATATGGATGTGAAAAAATAATACAAATAGTGCATGGTGTAATACAAATAATACAAAACTCTCTATCGCATCACAGAGCCTTAATCAATCTTCTTCAGAGGCAACCATGTTACTTTGGTTACCTACTTTACCATGTAAAGTGTCTCTCCCTGGTTTTAACACACATTAAAACATACATGTATTATATATACTGTCCCATGCTTACCTTCTTACTTACCAGTGATATTTCAGTGATTAATGATCTACTACATTCTTTTTAAGAGCTACTATGTTCCATCGTATGGCTATTCCATAGTTTATTTAACCAATCACCTACTGATGAACATTTAGCTTGTTTCTAGTCTTACGCTATAACAAACAATACTGCAATGAAAATTATTTTCCCTAAATCTTTGTATTCATGAAATGACAGTCCTAAAAATGAAATTGCTAGCTCAAGAGGTATGTGAATTTTTTATTTTGAAAATCATTACAAAATTATCCTCCAGAAAAATGATACCAATTTACACTCTACCAACAATGTAGTAGAGTACTTATTTCTCCATACTTTCTTCAAGAAAGAGTTTTCAAACTTTTTATCTGTGTCAATCTAAAAACTGAATATAGGGGTGTCTGGATGGCTCAGTGCATTAAGTGTCTGACTTTGGCTCAGGTCATGATCTCGCAATCTGTAAGGTCAAGTCCTGCACGGGGCTCTGTTCTGACAGGTCAGAGCCTGGAGGCTGCTTTGGATTCTGGTCTCCCTCTCTCTCTGCCCCTTCCCTGCTCATGCTCTGTCTCTTTCTCTCAAAATAAACATTAACAAAATTTTAAAAAAGGAAAACAAGAAAATATAAGTAAGTAAAAACTGAATAACTTATCACTGAAGTTATAATTTACATTTCTTTAGTTATGGATGAAGTTAGGCCTTTTATTTTTGTTTTAGTACAAGCTTTTTTTTTTTAACGTTTATTTTTTAGAGAGTGAGAGTTAAAGAGCAAGCAGGGGAGGGGCAGAATCCCAAGCAGGCACCACGCTGTCAGCACAGAGCCCAACACAGGGCTCGAGCTCACAAACTTTGAGATCAAGCCCTGAACCAAAACTAAGAGTTGGATGCTTAACCCACTGAGCCACCCAGGTACCCCAGCCATTCATACATTTAAAAGAGATTTGTATTTTTGTGTGTGTCTGAAAAACTTTTAAACTGTTTACCATGGTAATAGGGGAGTTTCTGCAAAAGACTAATATGTATTTTAATTTACAGCAAAAATTTTCCACCCACCTCTGTTTGAGGTGATTTGAATATCATTTGGAGGCTGTCCCACATCAGTCTGTAGTTTACTAATGGAAAGTTTAAATTTATTTATTTATTTGTAATGTTTATTTATTTTTGAGAGAGAGACAGAGTATGAGTGGGG